ATAGATAAATTGAGTGTCAACACTTTGTGATGATAACTGGTATTGATTGATTCTTTGATGTGATTGCATGTTAGTGAGACTTGAAAATGATGAAGACATTTTTTTTCTTTACAGTAGATATAACCCAGAGCCAAATAGCCAACCCTGCATTAATTATAGGACATCCATTTGAACCCCATCTGAGTCAAAAATAATATTGTTTCTTAAATAGAACCCCTGAGCCTAAACAATATTTATGTACCTTCTTATATTTGAGAAAGGAAATGAGTATGAATGTTATTATTCTTCCTACGAATATTGTTGGGTATTGTTATTGTTGTCCTACGGGTATTATTGGGGTGTTATTCTTAAAAAAAGTGTAAAGAAAAAGGAAAAACAAAGCATAAATATTGTGGCAATGCCAAAAAGGATAAATGCAAAACATGAGAAAAGAAAAAAGAAGTTCAAGGGGGGGGGAGGGAATGATAACTTGTGAGATTATTAACTCATTATCATTGTGTTAGGAGCAAATGCATGAAGTTTGAAACCCGACTTGAGGAAATGTTAAACAAGAACCATTCATATGATTTGAATTTCTCAAATACTTTTGAATATCCCAGAAAAACCAATTATTCTTTCTCAGCCCAGCCCCATTACAAGCCTCAAAAGACCTTTGATTTAAGTCTTGCTTAACAAATGTTGATTTCTTGTAGATGACTATCAATATTGGATTGTCTAAATGAAGTGATTGAATGAGATAAATACTTACCTATGAGATGTGAGAGATCATGCTTCTCTGAGAATAGTTGATGATTAATTTTCTGTTATTAATTTATGTAACTTGAATGCTTATGTATTCTATTTTTAATTGGATTTGTGAGCATCGCATCTGAAAATCTTTTATGTTGTGGTTCTGGAAGAGAAAGTGATAATAGGTGATGGTTTTGTTTTGAAAAAATTACTTTACTTGGGACAAGCAAGATTCTAGGTTGGGGGGAGTTGTTAAGTGGTAAAAAGTTGATATAATTATGCTTTGAATTGTTATGAAACAACTTAACTTATGTTAATTCTAATCTATTTTTCTCCCAATGTAGGATGAATTCGAGAATACCTTGATAAAAGAGTAAGGAGCATAATTGTCAGCATAATTGGAGCAAAACTGAAAGAAGGAAAAAGATTTTCAGCATGAAAGTTGCTTGAGCGAGATGGACTCTCGCTTGAGCGAATATCAGTTATTCTTCTCTGGAATTCAGTCGCTCAAGCGCAAGTAAATTCGCTTGAGCGAATGTTAGTTATTCTTCTCTAGATTTCACTCGCTCAAGCGAGCGATTTGTCACTTGAGCGAAAATAGGTAACTTTCGCTTGAGCGAAAGATGTGAGGCCCAATTTTTTCTATAAAAAGATAAGATGTGTTTTGAGAAAAGTAAGTAGTTTTGGGGAGAAGAGGCGCGACTAATGCTAGGGTTTCGTCCAATCTTAATCAATTCTTCACTTCTTCCACATTTGGAGCATTGTAATGGCCAACATGAGTGACTAACTTCATTCTCTTGGGATTTGGTGCACTTCCTTTGAACTCTTTTGTATCATGGTGATATTTTGAGATATTAATTTATGTTTTGATGTTGTTATTCATATCCTTTGTGCTTTGGAATGATTTGTCATTGATGTTTGGGATATGATTGGAAAATATATCTTGAACCCTAGATCATGGTAAGAATATTTGTTATGTTAATTTCCAGGAATGGAATGAATGTATCAATTGCTTAACACCCTAAAACTAATGCTGGAAAATCTCTTAATTGTGTGAGGAATCAACATGGATGATTTGAGTAGGTGACATCAACATTGTTAGGTTAATTGACGTTCTTAATTGACATAGCCATTACAAAAGAGGGAAAAGGAAGAAAGTCAATCCTAAATGCCTTTAATTGATATTTTCTAAACAATTTATAGTTCTTTGTCATTTAATTGCAATTCAACTCTTTATGCAAACCCTATTTTGTTTTAAACCACTTAGTAAGCATATAATTAAGAATTTCCATTGAAACCGTTCCTCGTAGGATCGACTTTTATTTAATCGAAATACTATATTGTGATTGATAATTTTGGTACGCTTGCCAATAATTTAATATATAGTCAACCCTACATCCAGTTCCCAGTCAACTCTAATCACAAGAGTGACTCCCAATTCATTATCTTTAAAAATCAATTTACAAATTACAATCAACTTAGCAGAGGAACCAGTAAAAAGTAAACTAATTAAGAAGACAATCACCTCCTTAAAAACCCATTAAGGATGAACACCTCCCTAGAATCCCACTAGGGATGAACACCTCCTCTGAACAAATCAAAGGATGAAAACACCTCCTTAGAATCACACTAAGGATGAACATCTCCCTAGAATCCCACTAGGAATAAACACCTCCTCTAAACAAATCAAAGGAGTGAACAGTTTCCACACAGAAAACCCTAAAATAACATTGATTAACTTAAATCTCCTAAACCCACAAAAGGATAAAGGCAATAAAATTAGAACAGTCACACCTGGTGATGAAGACAACAAATTGTAGAAGCCTGTAGAATGCCAACTTTCAAGGATAAGTGTGATTAACAATGAAAGCACAGAAGGCAGTAGAGAAAAGAGTTTTCTCAGAACATGTAAAATATCTCTGTTGTCTTGCTCATAATTCTTTTCTCAAAACTGATTGAATGTAAATTGTATTTTCGAATTCTGTAATTGTGTGTTTTTTTATTTTCCATCAAAACTTAATTAAATAGAAAAATAGCATCAGAAAATGGTTGTTGGGCATTAATATTTTCGTGGATAAAAATCATGATATATTCAAAAACATTTATACTTCAAAATGAATATTTTTCAAATTTGAACTGTCATAATCGATTATGTTACCAGTATAATCAATTATGACAGAGAAAATTGTTTTTCCATTTCTGATGCATCATAATTGATTATGACAGTGAAAAATATCATGTTACGAAATTTTATCACACTTGTGCTTTACAGACTTATGCATAATATTACTTCATCAACTTGTACCTCCATATCCAGTATTTTAAGACTCTATCTAGTTTTCAGGAATCATCTTGGACTTGCTTGAATGTTGAATCGAATCTTTATCAAATCATATATTGGGCTTGCTTGAGTCTTGAATGTTGTTGACTTGAATTATCATCAAAATCATCTCTTGGAAATGTAGGGACATGTTTCACATTGTCATCAATTTCCCCCTCATTGCCTTTAACATAGTATTGTAAGAGATTTTCTAGTAACGTCATTATAAGAAAATATTCTTTATGAAACATGCATGAAGGGTAAATAGGTTAAAAGAGTGTTTTAAAAGTAAAAATATTATTTTTATAAAAAGACCTCTTGAAATATATTAACTCTTTTTGGTCCAACAAGAACCGCATTTGTTAATGATAAGAAGTATGGTTTTGTTATTCTAGGTGTAAAACTTTTATCCCACAATAAAAATATCTTTTGATATCTTGTATAAATTATACAAAAATGATAACAATAAAAAAAGATATGTCCATTGTCTGTATCAAACGTGATATGCAAAATACTTCTAAAATGAGATAGTAAATTCAATTTGTTATTTACAATACAAGATTTATATTAGGTCTATCCTCATATGAATTAAGAACTAATAAAAATTCATTCTTTCCGCTATCAATATTTTATTTAAATACCAAATTGAGGGGTATTTTGAGAAGCTTGACTTATTAAAAATATATAATTCATTACTAACGATCAAATGGTAAATTATTCATTAAAAATCCAAATATTATTGTTAAAAAATATTTTTTTAAATAGTCTTCAATATTAATAAATGAATAAATAAATATATCATTCCAAAAACTATCTTTCATTTTTCACATTTGTTTTTTATTTGAAATATTTCTTTATATATTATTATTAAATGTAATTTATTATTTACAAATTATATTTTAATAAAAATATGTAAAGACTTGTATAAAATGACACATATGTAAGATAGTGAAGTTATTTTCAAAAATTTTATATTATTTATTTTAAATTAATTATAATTTTAATTATGTAAAATAAATATTTATTTCAATGAAATGTATAAGAAAGTTATGAATTTTATAAATTTTGTATACCTTTTAGAATTTTTTTTACCATATAGATAAAGTTTTGACTTGTTTATTATTTTAGTTCTTAAAATTGAGATAAATCCAATTTTTTTTTATCTCTCAATATTAAATTTAAAAAAAAAAATAGACACATGTTACTTTTAAACAACAAACTTAAAAGATTAAAAAATTAGCATTACATTTTATTAAAATTTCTTAGAATAAAATAATATTTTAAATAATAAGATCGAATTATTTTGAAATTTTGAAGATTTTAAAATTTAACCAGTGAAATGTTCAAGGTTAAATCACAAATAAATATTTTTTTAATAATATACCAGATAATTAGAAATTCATTAAAAAGTTAAAATTACTGTTATTATTGTCGAATTAATTATATTCTCATGATATTAAAGAAAAAGAATAATTATTATCCAAATTGAAATCACTTGTATAATTGTTATCATTATTATCATAGTAAAAATTCATAATAAAGAATAAGAGACCCAAAGTAATAAAAGAAAGATAAAAATTACAAAAATATATTTTAAAAAAATAACTAAAAGTATAAAAACCACATAAAAAATAATTATTATCAATGTGATTTGACAAGATAAAAGAAGAAAATAAATAAAAAATAAAAAGTACTTATTATTAAAAATCAAGGTGACACTCGAAAAATAAAACAAATGTAATAATGTAATTGCCATGTATTTCCGTTCTCTGTTGAAATTTGTGACGTTTAGACGCATTCACACAATATCAAACCGTTGGATCTTAAATCAACAGCAGTTAATAGTCTAAATGACGTGTCCTTTGTAAGAAAATAAAGATACAAATACTGGGAAGAAGGAAGGAGGAGATGAAGTACAAGTGTTGTTAGGCTTTAGCCAAGCGTTTTCTAAATGGAACGAGCACTCTGCCTCTCTCTCCTCCTCCTCTTCATGGCGGCGGTAGCGACGGTGACTGGCGGCGGGGAACACAACCTCACTGCAGGCGGGCTGTCATGGTCCCCTGCCATGGAGGAGCCCGATCTGCCCCGGGCGGCGGATGACTTCGACTCTGACGGCGGGTTTTCCTCACTCGACGGCATGCTGCAGTGGGCTATCAGTAAGTACATCGTTCAACATTTTGTTTATCTCAAAATGAGTACTTAAAATTAGGCTTAATTACTTATTTAGTTACATTATTGATTTATTTATCTTATTTGGTTTCAATCAAAATTTAATGAAGTTTCTCAAATTTTAAAACTATTGTAACTTATGCATAATACAATTTATAAAACTAAGGAGAACTATACGAAAGGATACATTTTAAAAATTTGAAGAATTTGATTAAATCTTGAAGGAGTGATATTGTTGTACTTTTAAAATAGAGGACTTCCTTCACATTTTTTATTAATAGAAAGATGAAATTAAACAAAATACATAACAATAGGATGTGGTTTATGTTTTAGCTGTGATTAAAATGTATTTCATAGTAATTAGCCCCTGGACTGTGAACATGCATAAAAGAATTAATTTGACGAAATACACGTTCCAGAATTTCAAGTCTTGTTTTGAGTAATATGAACTCTTAAGGAGACTAAGTTAACTATTATTTTCCTTCATTAATTGTCAGTTTAAAACTTGCTAACCAATTAAAAACAAAATCCTTTATATGACTTTTAAAATGGGTTGTTTATCTTAAATTTGTGGGACTTACAATGCCCCACAGATTTAATAACTCTACACAAAAATTTATTCCAATAATAAGGTTTCTTATCTTGTTTTTCTATTGATTCTTTGCCTGAAAATTAGTTTTTGTATAGATAAAAAATAATTAAGCAATGTTGCTTTTCTGTAAGCAATAATTGTGCTTGCATAAGAAAATTATGTCCAATGCTCCAATGACAATTATTGTTAAGGAGTTGTCTTATTTTTAAGAAACTCGCATAAGCAACCACGTTCTAGATACCCAGTATATACAAGAATTTAATGTTGGATAACAGTTACTTGTTTGTTTTATCTGAATTCATCGCAAGAAATAATCCTTTGTTGTTAATATCTTTGCAAAGGTCATTCTGATCCTGAAAAGTTAAAGGAATCAGCAGAGACTCAGCAACACCTTTCACCAATGGAGTTACAGAAACGTCAATTGGAGATCAAGGTGAATGTCACTGAAACTAATTCAACTAAATTTTCTTTTGGGTGTCTGTGTGGTGCTATGTGTTTATCATTCACTTATCTGATTCATTATAATGGCGATTAAATAGGAAATTATGGAGAAAATAAAGATGCCTTCTGATGCTGAATTGATGAAAGTCGCTATAGGTGACTTGAATAATCTGTCTACATCCCTGGAAGATAGGTATCGTGCTTTAGAGGAGCTTCTTGAGCTTGTTGAGTCGATAGATAATGCAAATGGTAGGTGTATATTCCATAACGCTTACTCGAGAATACAAATGGGAGACCCTGCCATTGATTTTACCCGTGTTTAATGTGGTGATGCAGTTGTAGGACCTCCAAGCCATGGTATAATAGCTGCAAATTGCAGTTGAAGACCATGTTTAAAAACATGCAGTGGAGTCCCAATATTGTGTGCATGTCATTTTGGTTGAATTGGATGCTAGTATGCTGTAGGAGTTTTGTTTCTTATATATCTGAAGGACTTGATGCATGCACTAAAACAGTTATTCTTAGCTATCTCCAAATAAAACGTGTATTAACTCTCTTTCCAACACACTCTTTCATTTGGGTGAAATTCATGTAAGGTTCAACTAAATAGGTAGGTCTTGTGTGCCAAATTCATATAATTCGAATAGGTCCCACCTCAAACTAAACTGGTGAGTTTCAGTTGAACTTCAACCAATAAGACAGAAAGGGTGTTGCTCTTGTTAGTCATCTCCAAATAGATTCTTCCTAATTTAGAAGCCTCAAAATCGGCCTTTTTTTTAGATGCTTTAAATCATTCAATACTCACTTTCCCAGGAATCCTGTTAATATGATTTCCTTTTGTATAGCCTTTTGCTGAAATTTGAAAACAAATTCAAAAATCAGGTCATAAATTTAGAACAACACATGGAACAAGAGTGGAAGATTTTAACTTTGCATGTGTTTTTCTTGTTGACAAACAAGTATCTAAATAAAGCACTCTGTATATTATCACTTGATGTGTTTGCAATGAGTGGTACATGGTCAATTTATAGGCCTTTGGATATGGCCTCTCAACTACATGCATTTAATACAACTACTACCTTTTAACTACATACATTCAATACAACCACTATCTCTCAACTACATACATTCAATATAATTACTACCTCTCAACTACTACCTCTATAACCACTACCTCTCAACTACATGCATTTAATGTTTACCTAACAAAATCCCCCCATAAACTTAAATGTTTTTCTTGTCCTTCATTCCAAGCATCTTCTTGCTATTCTCGAACAGAGTGGTTGACAGTGACTTCGTGAACATATCTGCAGCTTGTGCTCGGGTTCCGACGTGCTCTAACTCCACATTTCCTTCTTTCACTTGTTCTCGGATGAAGTGAAACCGAACATCAATATGCTTGTTTCTCTTATGATTGACCGGGTTCTTTGCCAATTCAATGGCCGACTTGTTATCAACTCGAATCACAGTTCGTTTTTCTTGCTTCAACTCCAGGTTGCTTAGAAGGTTTCTAAGCCAAACTGCATGACAAACACTCCAGGATGCTGCAACGGTCTCGACTTCACTAGTTGACAACGTTTGAAAGTCAGGTGAATGTTGTGTTTCCTATGAAGAATACATATCCAGACGTGCTTTTCCGGTCATCAACATCTCCACACCAGTCACTATCAGAGTAGCCTACTAGTCGATAATCATCCGTCCTAGTATACATTAGGCCAAGTGACACTGTTACTCTCACATACCTTAGAATTCTCTTTACTGCCTTCCAATGAGTATACCTTGGCTCCTCCATATATCGACTTGCTATTCCAACACTTAGCATTAAATCTGGTTTGGTATTTGTAAGATACCTAAGACTTCCAATCAGACTTCGGTATTTGCTCGCATCAACTCGGTCTCCATCTGCATACTTAGAAAGTTTTGTACCAAGTTCCATAGGGGTGGAAACCGAGTTGCAACTTGTCATCTTAAACTTCTTCAAGATCTCCTCAACATACCTTTCCTGCGACACAAAGATGTCATTCTTTCCTTGAACAACTTCTGAACCAAGGAAATACTTCATGAGACCCAAGTCAGTCATCTCAAACTCCTTCTTCATCACTTCTTTAAACTCTTCAATCAGCTCGGCATTATTCCCCATGAAGATAAGGTCATCAACATATAGGGCAACAAACATCACATCTTCTCCTTTCTTCTTTATGTATAGAGCATGTTCATAAGGACACTGCTCATATCCATTCCTTTTGAAGTAAGTTTCAATTCTTTCATTCCATGCTCGTGGGGCTTGTTTCAAGCCATAAAGTGCCTTCTTCAATCTCAACACTTTTTTCTCTTTGCCTCTTCGCATGTATTCGAGTGGCTGTTCAACATATACTTCCTCCTCCAAGATTCCATTCAGAAATGCCGACTTCACGTCCATCTGCAAGATTGTCCATCTGTGTTGAGCTGCTAAGGAAATTAGCAGCCTAATTGTTTCCATTCTCGTCACTGAGGCGAATACTTCGTCATAATCTATTCCTTTCTTCTGCTTGTACCCCTTCACTACGAGTCGAGCTTTATATCGTTCAACTTCTCCTTCAGTATTTGTCTTCTTCTTGTACACCCATTTTACGCCGATAGACTGCGCTCCTTTGGGCAAATTAGTCAGCTCCCATGTGTTGTTGCGTTTTATTGCCCCTGTTGAATATAGGGTTAATTTCCCTTATGTATTTACCACACATAGGGCAGTGTATTTATAATAAAGAAAGGTACTCCTCAAAAGAGTAACAGAATACAAATAGGGTAAATAAAAAGATATTATTTGATATTGTGATTAACAATATCTAACAATATCTCAACAATATCAAACAATATCAACTAATATCTAATCATATCTAACACTCCCCCTCAAGCTGGAGCATACAAATCGTATGTGCCTAGCTTGGTACAAAGATAATCCATCCTAGGTCCCAGTAAAGACTTAGTGAAAATATCTCGCTAATTGATCACATGAGTTAACGAACTCGGTCTTGATGTCTCCGGACATAATCTTTTCCCGAATAAAATGGCAGTCAATCTCAATGTGTTTAGTCCTCTCATGAAAGACGGGATTAGAGCTTATATGGAGAGCGACTGATTGTCACACACTAGTGTCATTTGAGTGACATCTCCAAATTGTAGCTCTTTAAGCAATTGCTTGAGCCAAATAAGTTCACAGGTAGCTGAGGCCATAGCTCTATACTCGCTTACTGCACTGGATCTTGCCACAACACTTTGTTTCTTACTTTTCCATGAGATCAAGTTACCACCAATGGAAACACAATACCCGAGATGTAGATCTTCTATCGAGAGGAGATCCTGCCCAATCGACATCCGAATAACGAGACAACTCTTGTATGATTATGGGAGTCATACACCAAACCTTTTCCAGGAGACTTTTTGATGTACTTCAATATACGGATGACTCGCATTCCAATGATCTTGACAAGGAGAATTGAGGAATTGACTCACCACACTCGACTGCAAAGGAAATGTCGGGCGAGTAACTCGTAAGATAATTTAATTTTCCAACTAATCTTCTATACCTGTTCAGGATCCGACATTGGCTCCCCCGATTTGGCAAGAGTTTGGTATTAGGATCCATGGGTGTGTCAACAGGCTTTGAATTCATCAACCCAGTTTCCTCCAAAATATCCAATGCATACTTTCTTTGAGATATAACAATGCCATCGGTAGATTGTGCTACCTCAATACCCAAGAAATATCCGAGTTTGCCAAGATCTTTGGTTTGAAAATGGTGACAAAGGTGTTGTTTCATCTGAGAGATGCCATGATGGTCACTACACTGTAAGAACAATGTCATCAACATACACTATCAAATAGATACATCCAAGCATTCGAGTGACGGTAAAAGACTGAGTGGTCTGCCTCACTTCTAGTCATGCCAAATTGTTGAACAACAGTCGCTAAATTTTCCAAACCAGGCCCTAGGAGGCTGTTTTAGGCCATATAAAGATTTGCGAAGACGACATACCAATCCAGAAGACTCCCCCGAGCAACAAATCCGGGAGGTTGCTCCATATAAATCTCTTCTTGCAAATCGCCATTCAAGAAAGCATTTTTGACATCCGAGTTGATAAAGAGGCCATTGTTGAATAGCAACCATGGCAATGAATAAACGAACGAAGCCATCTTTGCCACTTGGAGAGAAAGTATCACCATAATCCAACCCAAAAATTTGGGTATAGCCTTTGGCTACAAGGCGAGCTTTGAGGCGATCAATAGTACCATAAGGACCAACCTTGATAGCGAAGACCCACCTGCAACCAACAACAGATTTTCCGGATGGTAATGGGACAAGCGTCCAGGTTCCATTAGTCCGAAGAGCACGAGTTCATCTAGCATGGCCTGACGCCAACCAGGGTGGGCTAAGGCTTCGAGAGCAGATTTAGGAATAGACACAGAAGAAATAGACGAGAGACAGGTATAAAATGGTGAAGAAATTCGATGATAACTTAAAGCGAGTATAATGTGGAGAAGGATTACGAGTAGAACGCGTACCTTTACGAAGGGCAATAGGAAGGTCGGACTCGTGGACGGAGCCTGGAGGAGGCGAGTATTTGGCACTGGGAGTGAGTCATGTGGCGTCTGTTGTGGGCGAGGTCTGCGACTATAAACTCGAAGGGGTGGTGGAGGAGGAGGGGCTAATGGTGGATGGTCCTCAACATAAGGATCAATGAGAACGAGGAATGGGAAGCTGTAGCGAGATGGAGACTCAGCAGGTAGGGAAGGGTCCTTAAAGTAAAAGGAACACTCATTGAAGGTGACATCGGCAGACACAAAATAGCGATTAAGAGAAGGAGAAAAACACTTGTATCCTTTTTGGGATCGAGTAAATCCTAAGAAAACACATTTGTGTGATCGAGGAGATAACTTATCATGACCAGGATCAAAATTGTGGACAAAACAGGTAGACCCAAAAACCTTCGGAGGTAAAGGATGGAGAGTGTCATGAGGAAATAAAATAGAATGGGGAATTTTGTTATCTAAAGCCGAAGAGGGCATACGATTAATAAGATAACGAGCGAGTAAGAACGACATCACCCCAAAAATGTTGAGGAACCTCACCATGAATTAAAAGAGTACGGGTTGTTTCAATAAGGTGTCTATTCTTGCTTTCGACCACCCCATTTTGTTGAGGAGTATAAGCACGTGAAGTTTGATGAAGAATGCCATGAGAAGCCATAAATTGTTTAAAAGAGTTTGAAAGATATTCACGGCCATTATCACTTCGAAAAGTTTGAATAGAGACACCAAATTGATTTTTAATTTCATGATAAAAGTT